CACGAGATCATGAAGGAGTATCGCGACGAATGGAACAACCTCTCTCAAGAGGAGCAGCAACCGTACATCGATGCCGCTCAGGAAGAGACGGCGAGGAGGGTTGAGGCGATGAATAACGGTGATAAGTCGTTGTGAGTACGTCCTTCGCATTTTGAGTTACAGCGAGATCATCTCAACATGTAGTGCTCGCGATATGCTCCCCGAGTCCACGATCAAGTTCCATGAGGCCGTTATCAAGGCTACCGACTGTTTCGTCACCACTATCCTGTGCGGGCCTAACGACTCCGGCGTCAAGGTTGAAATGTGAGCCGTGTTCTTTTCTCGCCGCCTCTAACGCTAACGTGCCATCCAGCATTGAGAATGGGGTCTCGAGGACGAAGGAGACCCTCTGGACGTATCTATGCACAAGGCTGAGAATATCTACAGAGGAACTGACGTCCCTGATCTATGCGTGGGCTTACTCCAGCATAAATGGTGCGTCACTCTTCGACTCCCTGTTCCGCGTCTGATATCGGTTTTAGCGGAGCAAACCAACGAAGTCGTGACAACCGTCTGTCAAAGCGGCGTGCCGCCAAAGTCGCACACGAGCGGTGAGCACTTTGGCAATGACTCAGTGCTTTCTAATCATTGTCGTTACTTCGTTCAGGCGACACCTCCGAAGGTGGCTCGGTCCCAGACGAAGAGCACGCGGTCATGAGCGAGTCCGCGACCCGTACGTCGTTGTGAGATACTTATGAAGCCGCATCCTAAAGCGCCTGCTCGTGTAGCGGACTTCCTCCTAGATGTTGATGACGACCCCCTCAACATATCACAACGTACGTGGTTTCGTTTGCCATGTCGGAGTCACCGCCTCATAGTGTGTTCCGACGAGGTACTAGCGTGGATGATGGACCCCGATGCGTTCCACGAACGCCTCTCGTCCGCGTTGTCGTCCACGCTAACACGCATCTCTCGTGCAGTTGATCTCCCTGAGGAGGACGTCGTCACGCATGCGACTTCCCAGGCGGCATTCACGTTGGAAGTCGCTACCACCTATGACGCCGTGCCCGCCCCCAACACCGACACAGAGCACGCGCCCGATGCACACGCTGCGCCCGCGAACGCTGCGCCTGCGCCGCCCCGCCAACGCCACGTACGCACCCACCCCCCGCCGCGCCCATGCGACGCCTGCCGCGCCCAACATCGTCCTGGAGCGCGATGCGGACGATGACCCGCGAACGCTGCGCCTGCGACGCCCGCAACGCCAACGCCTCGCCGCGACCGACACCACGCGCGCGCGCCCAATGGCGACGCCGTTCCCGCGCCCAACATCGTCCTGGAGCGCGATGCGGACGATGACCCCGCGAACGCTGCACCCGCGACCGACGCCAACACCGCGCCCCCCGACGAGGCCAACGCCACGCCCGCTACCGAAGCCGACGCTACGCCCCCGCCGACGTCAACGCCACGCCCGCGACCGTCACAGATGCAACGCGGACGTCGTCTAAGAAGGCCCCGTCAAAGACTCCGGCGAAGGCCCTGAAGAAGGCCCTGCCCAAGTCCCCGATGGCTCTTCCGGTCTCCGACCCCACCACCGACCCTCCGCGTGCAAGGAATCCCAAGACCAAGTCTGCACCCCCCGGCTCCGCCGTGCCCACGGCCAACGCCAACGCCGAATGCACGCCTGAGTCTCAGGCTGCAGGCGCGGCCCCTGCGGACACCGAGCACGCACCGCGAGCACGCCAGAAGAGTCGTAGGCTGAAGGACGCCGAAGAGTGAGTGGCATTTTCGTGTCTATTGCTACGTTGAACTGAACCATGGATCAGGTCAAATCGGATCCTGGATGAGCTTGAGAAGAAGCGCGGGAGCAGCAGTTCGACCAAGCGCGGCGCGAAACGCGCCGGTCAAGCTCTCGAAACGTGAGTTGACAACCCATGAGCCAGTCTCGCGTCTAACTTTCGAGAGTAGGTCGGACGCGAAGAGCAAGAAGATCTCAACGACCGTTGGCGGTATGCAGGAGACGACAGGGAAGGGTCGAGGCAAGAAGGGGACCAGTGGAGCCGCGAAGTAGATAATACATATACGTAGCCATTAAACGGTATCGTAGAAGCGAACGTCGACCTAAGCGATCATCTTAGTAGCGAAAGTGAACAGGTACCTCGGTCGTCGTCGCGTGGGACGTCGTCGCGTCGTCGCGCTTTCAAGCGCCGGTGTGGGCTCGGGTGGCGTGTATGCGTTTCGAGTGCGCCAAAATTTCAGATCCCTCCACTTCCTCCTTACCTCCGATATGGATGAATCCTGCTCGCCCGCTCCTGAAAGCGTCCACTCCACTCCCCCAACGACTATCCCCCATGAAGCAATTTTTACTCAACCCGACGTCATTTCAATCGACAACGCCACGGTCCATTTCCCGCCTGGAATGAACGAAGACCCTGTCGAGGCCGAGGCCGGCCATGTCCCTCTTGGCCCACCCACGCAGGACGTCGACGAGACGAAGACGGGGAGCGTTAGGTTCATGATATGGCCCTGGGTAAGTCTTCTGAACTGTTTCCCTAGAGTCCTGTAGTTGATTACGTACGGCACCAGGGGGGTGGCAACCCGAAGTCTACGTACAGAGACGTCGCTATGCCCTCCGACATCGCTCTCAAAGGCATCCGTCTCGTGGAGGAGCGCGCGGGCACTGAGGGAAAGCTCATGGTATGGGGATCCCGCGCCAACTGGATCTTGGGGAACGTATCAGACGCTAAGATTTCGGTCACCAATCAAACCCGCAGCGTGCTGGTTCGTGGGGGACGGGCGAGCGGGCGGTGTATCGGCCTGGGAGCGGAGTTGTACGCTCAGGATACCGCCAACAACGAGTTTCTGGCGGCTCCTCTTGCCGAGTTTCGCTTTTTGAAGGGCGTCGTGCCTGTCTTCGTATGGGTCAAGGTGCGCTTTTGCATCATCTAGCTGACAACATCTGACTTTCGTCTGTAGGAGGAGCGACCGCGCCCCCTTGGGTACTGCCTACCGCCCCTTCACAAGAAGACTTACAAATACGTCCTCGACTTCCTGCGCAGGGATAATGTCGATCTCGGAGCGGGCTGGATGTTCTGGAACCCCAGTGCTTCATCCTGGATAACCGGTAACGAAGACGCGAACGTTCACGACATATGCTGCCAGACACTCTTGCTCCGTCACGCTGAGAACGAACGCGCGCGTTTCGCCGGACGGTTCATAGAACAGCTGGAAAAACACAACAAGGTGGTTGTGGCGACGGAGGACATCGTGTCTGCGAGCAAGGTGAGTTTCATGTGTTTCCTGCGCGGAGACGGGACTGATCAATCACGCGCAGAGGCTGCAAGAATCGCAAGGCGGCCATAACAAGAGGGCCAAGGTGAGCTCGTGCCTGGGGCGATGGAATTATGTCTGAAAGCGTGCATCCCGCAGACAAGCAAGTGAACGACGGGGTGTGAGCCACTGTAGAGCGCGAATGTTTCACCTTTTTGTATCGTCATGTAGAGATATCAGCATTGGCAACGTGTGTGACGCGCACGACGCGATCAGCGCAATGCGGGCTCCGTCCCGATGAGGGCCTGGACGCGGAATCCGGATGTCGCTCGAAAAGGGAGTCGTCCTCCCTGTCGTCGACCGCCTGCCCAACGGCACCCTGTCGGCGCTGCTGCCCCCACCACTCATCGCCACTTCACCTCAGCCAGACAGCGGTGATGACTATTCCCTCGACCCACTCACGCCATACCGACGCCGCCGGCCCAAACAAGACGCTGCACATCCCTAAAGCCGTCGTAAACGCATGGGTCGCTACAGTCTACGTGTTCAACACGGGTGTATGTCGCGCCTTCCTTCATACGATCTGCTGGCTAATGATTTGTGTGCCAGGCTACGACGCGGAGAGAGCTTCCTCAAGCCGTGGGATCGCATCATCGGATACGCCTGCGCGCGCTCCTGCGGAGGTGGGCGGAGACTTCGGCGACGGTGGGCTTCTGGAAGGATGGTAACTGGGCGTTGGCCTCTTTCGACGACGAAGTAGTGGTGGTACAAGACCTCCCCATCATGCTGGTACGGGTGGGAAACTGGGATAGAGTCTGCAAGAACTTCGGGAACATTATCGGAAGGTACGACTCGACTCGACGGGGAAATGCAGTACTCGACGTTGTCGAGTACCGAGGATGGTACGAGATGATGTCGATTATCAACTACACCGTTGTTGTGTGGACCAAGGTGAGCGCACAAACCTGCTTTCTTATGCTGCGTTAACGTATCCAGAATGTCGACGGCGGCCCATCGTTGTGCCACATGAACTCACAAGTGGGGAAGACCTTCTCCGATGTGATCCAACACTGCAAACGCCTCAACGCAGCGATAGACCTCTCCGAAGACGTCATGACCTGGTGTTCCAAGACGTCGACATGGATCTCCCGCACTGTGCACGACCAAGTCACCGATGCCGACTCTCACATGCTGCTCATACGAAGCGCACTCAACACGGACGCCTGGGGATGTGGCCCCTTCATTGACCGGCTGGAGCGAGAGGAGCGCGACCGCTTGGCTCGTCGTAACGTGGATTGAACACGTTCATGAGTGAGTCTCAAGTCAGCAAGTGTCGTTCATGCAGCTGATCTCGGACAGTGATGTCGCTCGGCACTTGAAGCGAGCAGTTTCGTATCAGAGTCCACGGCGATACAGTGCTGTTGTATTCCATTGTGATATGTAGACCCTGTTACTTCGGCGCCGAGTATATACATAGAGAGAGACGTCCTGAGGACGCCGTCGTGGCGTTCTCAGGCATTGAGCGAATTTTGAAAGCAGTTCTCAGTAGAACAAAAAATGCAATGCATGCGTCCCTGGTAGATGGATACGTACTGAGAGTCGGCTCGGAGGAGGGACATAAAGGTAGCACGGCCCGTTCGATCGCGCAAGCCGAAAGAGGAAGTGCCTCGAAACGCAAGCGTCGCCCAAATTTGCGCCGTCCCCGCTCACCACCTCCTATCGTCTCCCCTACCTGTCATCGCTCAGCAGCCATGGAGCCTGTCGTTGTGAGTGTCTTGTGCTGTCCTCCTTCGAGTACTGAAACGAAGTAACAGCACGACAAGCGGAGGGGGTCCGACCGCTGCAGGTTCTACCCAACACAGACGGGGCCTCCTGATGACATCCTCTTGAAGATCGAGCGCCAGCGAAAGATCGATGAGGCACTTCAGCAAGAGGCGCAAGCACCCCACCAAGACGCCGAGGACCTCAATGAGGAACATGTCACCTCCTCATCAGAAGACGACCACAACCGTGACGACCACGATGGCGACGACCACGACCACGACGACCACGATGACCACGACCACGACCACGACGGGCGCGACGACGGCCACGGGCGCGACAGCGACAATGACCACCACCGCGACGACCGCAAGAGCGACGATGAAGATTCAGACCGCCGCCGCCGCCACCACCCCAATACCCCGAAGAGGAAAAGAAAGGACAACCGTGGGGAGAAGGAGAAAAGGCACAGGGCGGACGAGGTGTACAATGGCGAGGTATGTTTTTCCACATGGAGTGTTCGAAGCGATACGAATGACGCCCGTGAAACAGACTACGGTTGACCTTGAAGAAGCGAACGTTGTGGTTTGGAATGTCGTGAGCGTTGTCAGAGCTGCAGACACCCGACGCGGCTGACATAGCTACAGGGCGTGGTGGGCCATAGTATCCACGTCGCCACCGTGAAGCTCGAACAAGGCATGGTCGACCTGACGAGGATCAGCGCGATCGCCACGCGCTACACACACCATCGGATCATGGAGATGCAGCTGTGGGAAGCCTTTGATTGGCAGGCCCTTCTGCGTACGAAGATCCGACTAGAGCCATATCACGCGGGATGGATATGGGTGCGTGCGCAGGCGGGAGAGTGCTTCGAATTCGGCATCTACGCGCGGATGTGGGAGGAAAGTGCGGGCAGATCATCTCACTGGAAAGATGTCATACGGGTGATGATGCGAGACGCTACCGACAACGTTCCTTTGGTGATCCAGTGGCACAAGGTGAGCAAAGTGGCAGCGCAGTGTATCGTCTGCTGATGCAGGGGATATAGGCCCGGGTGTTTGTCGACCACGCCGACGAGAAGACGCTCACCTCTTCGCTCAAGTCCACTCTCGACGACGAAGGCACGCTGTATATATGGTCTCCCAGCCGCTCGTCCTTCACGTCCACCTCAACTCTGCATGACGCGCTGTGGTTGGTCGCTGACGCGGTTCACGGTGGTGCTATGGTCCTCATAAGAACCCAACATGCGAACCTGGACGGCTGGGGCATTGCGTTGGACGCATTAGAACTCGCGCGACGGATCACCCGCCTCATTGAGGTGAGTGTACTCTATCTGGACCGCGCGTGGCTGGTTCTGACCATGCCGCCCAGCTGAAGAAGGAGAGACAAGATAAAGAGCAGGAATCAGACAGCGACAGCGACTACGACCGTGGGGGGTGCGGCACACGCCTGGGGATGTCCGCGTCCGAATGGGTGAGGATCGCGGATGTGTCCTAGGTCATACTTATCTGATATCTTCTGGCAGGCTGGCGGAAGTAAGCCTGACAGACGTCGAACTGCTGACACGAAGCAGACCGGTGTGCAGGTGAGCGTCGTACCCATTCCCGCGACACGAAATTCTAAGTAACGCTTGGGACGGTGGATGACCCCAGACGAAGAAGCGCGGTGCGAAAACGACTAAGTACCAAGATGTTCCGAAGAAACCATCCATCGCGGCGATGGACACGATCGAGATATCGGACGACGAAGGCGATGTGAACCAAGTGAGCGCAGTGACGTCACGATATGAGATGGGTAGCTGATGAAGGCGCAGTCTAACAAGAACGACGTCAAGAATGTGGACACCAGCGATATCATCGAGATATCGGACGACGAAGGATATCCGCCTCTGGGAGGCAGAGACGCGCGAGGCGCTCGACACGTGAGTGCCGCCGTGACGTCATAGCATATGATGAGTGATCTCAGGCAACGCAGATGCGAAAATCAAAGCCGAAGAAGAAACACGATGTGACGAACATGAAGACGATCGAGCTCTCTGATGACGAAGACGTGGTTTCTCAAATCTCGCCAGTCCCCAGGGGAGTGGACATGCGGGTGTGTGATATAATCGGACCTGTCGAAGAACATGGCTCATACTTTTTCAGACGCCGAAGGGGGCGATGATCCACGCCAAGAAGCAGCCTGAGGTGATAGAGATTTCGGACGACGAAGGATCGGCTGACCAAGGCCGCACGCGAGCCGAAGAGCATAGGCCTGGCGATTGCTCGTGTAGAGGTAATGAGGGCGATGAACCAAGGTGAGTCGAATGACCACAAAATAGATTGCGTCGTCTGATGCAGATAAACGAACAGGCCACTAGTCCTCACGACCTAGCGCCATCCCTTGCGCCGGATGCTCGCATCGGGCGGGCGGGCGGCACGTAATGTTTCAACCTTAAACTAGCAGCAGACGGTTGCACCACGTTATCGTAAGACCCACGTAGCTAGTACATACAACGGAGTGGTGCACTGGAGGACGATATGAACGCGCTTGGTGTCCGGAAAGGGGACGGGCTTGTTGTTCTCCGGCCCGCGCCTAGAAACAGCTGTACCCAGTATACTAGTAACCTTGAACGCCTACGCTTCAAGGTGTGCAGGTGGGCGTTGGACATGTGCGCCCTGTATAGCAGTCTTAAACGCCTACGCTTCAAGGTGTGGGGTGAGCGTTGGACTCGCCGACGAGCGGTGTTGATTTCGCGCAGTGGGCAGGAATGCCGATGCCAGAACGGAAATGTTCAACAAGGGCGACGTTTCAGCGAGTCAGGCAATCGCCGAGCGCCTGCCCCGAAAAGATCGCGCCGCCGGCGAATGCCTCCTCTCCTGTCCTCGCTCCAGCCTCCTTGAAATTGACCCTCTCCATGACAGGCTTGACGGAAGAGGATCTCCGACGGGGGTACCATCAACCCGGCAAGGACCGAGACGACATCCAGTTTTTCGAGATACGAGAGGCCGAAGGCGCCATCAGCAAAGAACTCTCTGCCCTCTGCAATGAAGTCGTCACGCATCCGGCCCCGCAATGCCCCCGCGATTGCACCCGCTGTGGTTATACACTTCTGAACAACAACGGGGAGACGATCGAGGCACTGAAAGTATCGCGCTTTGTGGGGTGCAAGAAGTACTACGCAGGTGCGGTGGGATATCGCGTGAGTGCGGAAGCTCGCTTGGAAAACGTGTTCTTATACTCTGACATAGCACGAGCGGCCCGGCTATGGTGCATGTCAGTTCTTCCCCAGACAGAAAGGCCCGACACAAGTCGACCTCATTCGCATCGAAACCTTGAGGAAGGAAGATGAGGCGAGGGCAAGGGCATGGCGCGGCGAGTCAGGGCTGTACAAGGGACGAAGGACGAACCAGAGCAGCAAGAAGGGGAAGCGAATTCGGCGGAAGGCCGGAAGCGGGTCTGTGGGCGGCCAGTCGAACGAGCGCGACAAGGTACGTGTCCTAGATATTTCGGGATTCACTTGTCTAAGAAGGGAACTCAGAAGATGCCGAAGAGGGAGAAGGAGGAGAAGAAGCCGAAGAAGGAAGTGCATGAGTCTGCAGAGGTCGACGATGGGAACAAGGTACGAACCGTGTGAGGCTGGAGAGATGACGTGTGTGCTGATGCGATATGCAGCGTATCAGACATAACACGATGACGCTGTTGGTTGCATTTAACCTGGTGAGCACACCGGGCATCTGCACGTAATCAGAGGATGACCGATTAGCAGGGAGGGCGAGGAAGGGTAGACGACAAGGCGATCAAGTTAATCCGAGGCGAGCACGATCTCTCAGAAGAGAAGCTGGTAACCCCCCATGCGGACATCGACAAGATCATGAACATGCGCATCTGGAGCTTCTCCTCCAACGACTGGGAGCGCCTGGGTCGGACGGTGATTGGGTCACAAGATGCGTCGAACGGATTCATCTTCCTGCGTGTAGGACTTGAACACTGCGAGGGCCTCGGATATCACATGCGCGAGTGGGAGGACACGAATGGCACGGACCCCAAGCTCGTCGAGGGAATCGCGGACGCTCTGAGCTTCCCTCTCGCAGCCGGAGAGCGGCTTGTGTTCGTATGGGACCATGTGGGTGTCCAACCTGTTCGCCGGACGGGGTTCTGATCCTCGACAATAGAAGGGCGGTGCCCCGGAGATTGCGATCGCGACGGAATCGGACATTCGCGCCAGTGCGCGTCGCCTCTGTGTCGCCCACGGCCGCGCCCGCATATGGAATCTGGAAGAATCCTGCTGGGACGCCATCTTCGACGCGGACGCGGCGCTCGACCGCGTAAGGGGTGGCTTCCCCATCGTAATCATGGCGTACGCTCCGGTGGGCCAGGAGCGTGTGGCGATGCCGGGCATAGGCCTCGCTCTGGAGGGCGCAGAGCGAGCCCGAGATGGTGCTGGACGGAACTCGGTAAGCCCCCAGTGACCTGTGAGTGGCCGACGCGTCGCTGAGCTGGTCGCAGGGCCCGGGCCTTCTCGAGGTGCGCAGCGCGGATGGGTTGGGACATGGAGGTCCCTCTCACAACATAGGGCGTGAAGCTACGCGCACGAAACGAACACGCGGCGGTGAGCCAGTCAACGCGCGCGCAGGGCGCACCAACTCTCGAAAGCGGCACGTGCAGATACCAGGGGACCCGATTGAGATATCCGACGACAACCTTCCGCCTCCTGGTACGTCGAAGAACGTCAACTCTACTTCGTCTAAGCGGATCGCGGAAGATATCATTGAGATTTCGGACGAGGAAGCCATGCCGCCGCGGAAGTTGTCGCGGCGGATGGGGACGCAGCGGATGTTGGGTGAGGAAGTCGGACACGGGCGAGTGGATGTTGATCTGACCCTAGACGACTAATCGTGAGAAACCATTTTTGACGTCATCGCGGAGCGAACACTGACTGGGCGTATGTCAGAAAGCGAAGACGACGTCGCGGCCGCGATAGGAAGCGGTCGGGACGTCCGGGCGCTAGCGATCCATCCAGAGTAAGTAATCTCATTGCCCGTATTGAAACGACCACCTGACGACATCGTTTCGGCAGTATTGTAGATACAGTATCAGCAATGAGATGTCGTGATTACACTGAGGACGACGATGGCAGACGACCGACTTGGGCGCCCGTTCTGGGGCGCCCGTGTTCGTGCGGGAAGTGGACGAAAGATCAAGGCGCGGACGCACTTACGGAGACATCGCGCACGAAGAACGTGATCATGAGCCCGCGCGACCCGGGCCTATTATATGGGCGTGCAATAAGAACGAGCGGCAGATGGCCGAGCGAACAGCGTTGTGGGTAAGTAATGTAATAAATACGAAAGTACTACACGGGGGGCGCGTCCATTCGGCGTCGCGGACGACTTCATACCAGCCGTCCCCGCCAATAGCCCACGGTACCGAAGGACATGGAAGCGGCTCAGGCGAGCGGTGGTCCCGAGCGGTCCCGTTTACCACATCGGGAGAGGGCGCGGGTGGGTGTAGCACGCGACGAGCCCCCGCGTCCGAGGGGCGCGAGTTGCCGGAATAAACGCCGAATCCTCGGGCCGGAACTGAACGACGGATCACGAAATCAGGAGTAAAGCGGTGCCGTACGAACATCGCCGAAGACACCGAGGCCTGTCCATGTAGTGAGTAGCGTCGTCCTTGCTAGATGTCGTCAACTCATGTGAGCAAGGTCTATCATCAGGAATGAAAAAGCTGGGAAAACGAAGTACTACTCAAGCGACCCTCGTGGACGAGGCGAAATGTAATCGCGGTGAGGTAAAGGACGGAACGAACAGAGACGCGACGCACCGCGAGACAAGAGTTACCTGCGAGCACGCATGTAACGCACGCTATCATAAACGCGAGAATATGAACTGGAATTCGTCGAACGTTCAGCGCCCAGCTCCACGCTCTCGCGCTTGCCACATCGACACCCTCCACCAACCGTCGTCCATCCGCACTCCTCACTCGCGCGAACGCATCTAGACAACCCGCCTTTCTAAGCCAATTCCTTCGTGTTCTGTTTCCGAGTTCCTTGGTGAGTGTCTCGCGGCGTCGTGCGTCACTCTACGAGCGTCTCACCGCTTGCGTCCCCTTGCCCCATCGTCTGTCTTCGCCACTTCTCCTCACGTCGCCGCTTCATCCATCACCGCTTCCTCCTTCTTCAAAGAAACCCGCTGAATCCCCCGAACACCACCGCATCCGTGCGCTCGATCGTGACGTCCTGTCGCGAGTGCGTCTCACCCGCGTGGCCGCCCAGGTGAGTGTCTCGTCAGTCCTCTTCGCGCTGCATCCTTAACACATCATCCATCCGCTCCCTTGACACCCCACGGCCGCCGCGACCGCCACACGTGCGCGGATTACCGTCCTCCGCCCGCGTCGACTTCGACAAACCGCCGCCCGCGCACGTCTCACGCCCGTCCCACCCCAGGTGAGCATCTCATTGTTCCTCTTCGCGCTGGGTCCTTAACAGACGATTCCCCGCCCCCTTCGCGGTCGCCGCTACTGCTGCACGTCGCGCTCCCGGCCGTATTCCGCGAACGTGCTCCTGTGGTGACGTCCCGCCGCGCGCGCGTCCCACCCGCGTGGCAGCTCAGGTGAGCCTTCCCTCGTTCCTCTTCGCGCCGGGTCCTCAACAGACCATCCCCCCTCCCATTCACCCCCCACGCCCCCGCGACTATCGCTACACTACCCCCGGTTGTACTCCCGGTCGTGACTCCCGGCACGCGTGCGCGTCTCATCCATTTCGAACGGCTCTGTGCGTCCTCGGGTCCCTAACCTTCCCGCGCACAGAACTGCTGTCCACGATGCCCCCGATGTCCAGACGGCATCGCAAGGTACGTTGAATTCATCGCTCACAAGAGGAACTTACGGCGAGAACGTTTTCACAGACTCTCGAACGGGTATTGTTCAACTCAAAAACAAATATCCGAGATGAAGATCTGAAGAAGGTATGTCTCAATAGTGAACGACGGGCATGAACTCACCCGTTTTCAGGCCCTGCAGTTCGGCTTAGGCGCTCTGATGAGCAACACGAAACGCGGAAAGGCGTTCGAATTCAAGCCGGGAGAATGCCGACTGCCGACTAATATCGGAGAACGCTTCTGGTACTATCACCCTGTGAGCGAGCATTGTCGGATACGACTCCAGCACGATCTGATATAGGACTCGCTTCCAGGCTCACAAGCCGAATGTCCCCACCAGGACATGTGAGACCCGACATCGCCATGGAGTGAGTCTTTGGCAAACCCTGGCGGACACATACTCACCGAGCACATTCAGGCTCCGTAGCTACCTCAAGGAGAAATTGGGACCCGACGTTGAGGGTGAATGGAATAGGATATGCGCACGAGACTGGGTGAGGCCGGAGATGTAAGCGATACAGTTTATTCATCGTACGGCCGGGGCAGTCGATCGTCTGACATCATACAATTTGTGTGGCGGTGGCGGTGCTTGAGGACGTCCGGCGACGCCTGGCGCCAAAAATCGGACGGACTTAACAGATGGGGCCTCCGAGATCCCGACCGACGCGGCAGGTCCGCCGCGCCACCGGGGCATTTAACTTTTTCATATTATTTCAAGGCTGAGTGCAAGGAAAGGCACTTTGGATCAGTGGTAATCGTGTCGGACGGCTCGAACGCATCGTGCGTTCGATACCGAGTGGCGTTAAGTTTTTGTTCATACGACTAATGACCTCGAAAGGTCGGGATAAGTAAAAGTGTGCTACATACGGTAGTCCCGTCTACTACCTGACAACTAGTTGAAACGTGCGGCTCATCCCCGGTGGTGGTGGTGTTCAGATAATCGCGCAAGTGACCACACTTTGGGGAACGACGCGGGTCCTCTCCGAATATCGCCCCGAGGGAACAGCGCGGGCCCGGGTAGTGGCTGGGGTCCTGCTCTTGATAATCGCGTGCAGCAAGCTTGAGGCTGCAGACGGGTGATCCCTTCCAACACCGCCTCTATCTTTGCCACAGGGCCGGCCCCTGCGGGTGAAGTGGCTGCCACTGATGGCGCGGGCGACTGTTGCGCGGCGGCACAAGCGGCGGCGGCGGCACATCGAGCTGCGTGTGGAGTGTCTCCCCAACACCGCTGCGCGCGAATGTATGTCGCGCCCTACGCCGCGCCCCGGAAGGTGGGCGACTGAAGAACACAGAGCAGGAGGCGCGCTCCTGTGCCTTCGCGAAGCAAGCATAGACACGCCATCCGAGGGCCGGAAAGGCGAAGCGGGCTAGGGACGCGGGTGGAGGGCGCGCGCATGGAGGGCGCGCGTGGGGCGTGGCCAATGTAGGAAGAGCGCGAAGGGGTATATAGAAAAGTACGGGGGACAGGCGCGCTGCTAGTGATTCGAAATTGGGACGTTTTCCGAAAAGGCGTACAGGAGGCTGAACTTGGCACCCCATTCATGCGGGGCCGAAAATTGCATGTCATAACATTATATTTGAAGCTAAACTACAAGCACCAGTGGCCTAGTAGTGGTCTGCAGCGTGGTCCGCACGGAGCACGGTGTTCGAGTCTGAACGCTGGCAGCATTTTTGACGCTTATCCTCTTACTGCATGCGCCGGAGATCGGATAGACGCCCAATCGAGCCGCCCGGCTGATAGGCAATTGCCGGCTTCTAATTTGCCATTAGCACTCTACTTATTCAGCCCATGATGGGCCTTCATCGGATTCTAAAAATCCTACTGCTGTCCCTCCTCCACCCCTCCCTACACGCCATCGCCCACGTCAATATTGACTTGCACGACGTCAAATAAACCCTCCGTGCCGACGAGCGCGAAGTCCTCTGTGTGTCTCACGACGACGACCCGCTCGACGTCGACCTGGACCCCGAAAGCCTCGTCATGACTCCTTCCGCCCCTTCGCCACGGCCACACCATCTGGTCGTGATGAGCCGTCATAGGTTCGGGGCTCATGCGAGGCTGACCTGGTAGGTGACCCCGCCGAATACGACCGGCCGTCGAACCAACGTCTCCAGCTTCGTCTGGTCGTACAGCGCCGTCGGAGGTGGCACATACGTGCTCACAACCGCAGTCGGAAGGAACTCGAGCTGGAAATAATCGTCCCACTCCGCCACTCGCCACTCGAGCCGTTGCAGGCGAAGACCACTCGATGCTCGGCCCAGCATCTTCACGAGTTCTGCCAAGTCGTCTCGGACGCTGGTCGTGATCGTCTCCTCCCACTCGCTGGGTTTGCTTCGATCAACTGCTGAACCGAGCCGCACTCTCGAGGGAATGCGACGGCGAGGATGCGCAGATGCTGGCAGTTCGGCCCGTCGCTGTCCGGGTCCTGGAGACCCCGTCGAAGTAGCGCCCGCAGGACATCGGACACGCATCGCGCCAGCGAGATCAAGCGATGTGAGGTTGGGGAGAGCGT